TTATAAGGTACATATGATAATGACATAAGAATACATGCGTCATAGCAATAAATCCCCATTCTCCTCAGCCAACCTCTCTTTGTCTTGTAGATGACAAAATCCCTATCATAAAAAATATTATCCCACTTTGATGGAAAAATTGCATTGGGAAGTATTGTCTAAACAGTTACACCGTTCCACTCATCAATCTTCCAGTTCCTAGATATGAGTAAGTTCTGGACACCAGATGGATGGGGAAGACTTGTGAATTTAACTTATGCCCTTCTTGACTTGCAAACCAAAGTCATGAGCATGACCATAATAATGACCATAATGAAGCCAGCACACAATTCAAAGAAATAAGCTCTCCTTTCTTTAAACGTGCAATGATTCAACTAGTGCTGAACGAACTGCCTGTGCTATGCAGTATCCAAAGCTCCTGTGCTTCACTGAGCTCACAGAAAAACTCATAAAAAGTCTCAGTAGAAGGTCATCTATCTAAAACTTCAATGCTTCATCTAAAACAATTTGGAGACAGTCATTCAGGCCATGGAACTGAAATCACACTTATGACACTGATGGAGAATCTCCTCCTATGACTGGACAGAAAGCAGATAGCCATTCTTCTGCTGAAGGTCTCTGCAACATGTTTGAGATAATATTGCCTCATGCGAGAAAGGTGATAAGGGAATGTAGAATGTGCTAACAAGTTTTCAGTCCCTCTTTGAGAAATCCACCAAAGCAACAGAGAAAGATCTCACCATCAGTTAGGTAGATTACCTGGGGGAGACTGAGGAACCTAGGATAAATTTAAGACATCCATGCACATACCTCTCTTAAGTGCAAAATGTACAGAGGCTCTTGATTCTGGTCACCTTTTAGAGCTTACTCACTTCTTTGTTTTAGGCTGATAATGCTTCCCTTTCCTTGGCTGTTAAAGTCCGGTCTTTCCAAGGACACCTTTCTCAGCTTTCCTTATTTCCTATTCTGCTTAGGAAGTCTTAAATCACACAATGGCAGCCACTTTTCTTGCATGGATGACTGTTAACTACTGTTGCTCACAGCAACTACAGGTTGCTTGGCTGACCTGCAACACCTATCAATAAGCATGTATTATCATAACAGGATAACACAAGCTTCCCAATGAAAACCAGCTGAATGAAATAGCTGATTCTGATGGAAGAGAAGATATTTCTGAAGAATTTACATACTGAATCTTTTGTTGTGTAAGTTACAAACACACAAGAGTCTATTGCAGACTGCAGTTCAGGAGTGTTCTTGGCCTTCTCGATGGCACTACATTCTCACACTGCAGCACTGATAAGCATCACTGTCTAGAAATTCCAGTTTTTTAAGAAACTCAGTCATTGCTGCTGGCCAACAATCAGACCTTACTTATTCATAAGTTTGTCATTCCTCAGCTGGATTACAGCAATTCCGTAGGTATGGATGTCTTCCATATTTAGGGAGTTTTGAGAAGTACATAATGCTGTAGCTCATCTTAGAAATGCAAGCTATTTGTAGGCATATCAAACCAATCTCTCTGGCTTTCCACAGAATTTAAATTAAATTCATTATCTCAGTCTTACCTTCAGTGAACATAATTTCCAGGACAGCTACAGCGTCAAGATAAGAACTGTTGTTGACAAGAACAGCACTCTTCACTATGGAGGTAAGGTAGTCTGTTCAGGAGACAACTAACAGAGAGCTGAATGCAAACAGCAAAATGAAATCTTCCAAAGACAAAACAGAGTTCATTGTCATCCAAACCCAACTGCAAAGCAGATTTCTCTTACCTTGCCTTCTTCAATCCAAATGTTTGTTTTTAAAAACATCCATTTAAGTAATAAACCCCCCTAACTATGAAAACAAAACGTTTCACATGCTCTTCTTGCTCTTGAGGAGGGATGAGAGTACAAACAAAATGCAATGTGTTCTAGCATAGCAGAAACTTACTTGATGACATCCTTTCACTTTGCAATACATATCATAATGTATTTAGTGTTAAATGTATGTAGTGGTTAAGAAGAGATTCTTGATGCAAACAAGGAGCTATGAAACTATGCCATAAGCAATATTTTCTCATGATGAAAGCAAGTTAGACGTACTTTAAAGTCCATCTAAGTCATTGGAAGCATATTTCCAACACTGTAATTCTTTTTCTTTTCCCCATGTTAAATGGCACTTGCATGCCATTCTCACCAGCATCAATCTTTTGGCTAGTTCAGATGTGTCGCTTACATATGTCTGTATGCCTCTGTCTGTTAGCAATTCACACACAGAGTTTGTGAAAATTTGACAGATTGCAAAGCTTTTGTCTCTTTTGACTCTTAAGCCAGTCACACACTAAATGCCTGAATTGGTTTTGGCATCAGAAGTCTAAGCAAGACTTGACAGACCTACTGTAGTTGACAGACACTGCAGAGATGGTCTCCTGATTCCTGCATCATGATCTGCAGGCAGTGCACGCTAGAATAGATACTGTTTACATGATGGAATATGGGTGTAGTCACCATCCTCTTTTTTTTTTTTTTTGGCTCAGAAGAGCTGGTAAAAGCATCACTAATATCAGTTGTTGCACTTTTAGGGAAGTAACAGCTGGCATTCAAATTCAAGCATAGAAAAGTTTTGTTGGTAACTGTACTTGTATTGTGTAAGTTTTAAGGCTGCAGTTTCCTCATGGCCAGCAAAAGCACTATTAATACTACATCCTGAAAAGCTGCAGGACCGATTTATGCTCTGCATAAATCAGTCTCAAAGGACCACACTATTTTATTAATGTTAGTGATTTTTACTCATGTCTGTTTTCCAATTTGCCAAAACATTTGCAAGAAGTAAAGGCAATGATACAGCAGTGATTCTGACTGACTTCTATTTATTGGTTGTGCGGTGCATATAAAACAACACATCGAGGGGTGTCCTCATGGGATCATTTCAGAGCAATCATCTTTGGTTAGCTTGAAACAGAAGAATTTACAAGTGCTACAGAGAATTTTTTCATAAGGCGTATCTCTGTAATCTCTTTTTTGCCCCATTCTTTAACCAAGTATTTGATGAGTATTGTTGATGGAGCTGTACAATAGCGTTCTTGTGACTTGCAGCTGTGTTTTCCAAATGAATATTTGTCTTGGATTCTCTGTGGAATCTCTCAGCAGCTTTTATTGATGTTTCTTGGTAAATGTTAAACACTACATCAATTCTTTGACTTTCTGCACCATCGTGTACTGCTGATAACCAGGTACTTGTTAACTTTGTTTATTCTTTGGATCACACTCATTCCATCACTGACAGATGGCCTGCTGTGGTTTTAGTACAATTTGCATTCCACACGGTCCCTCTACCAAAGCTGCCTACTTTGTTCTTCAAAGTGATCTATCCAATGTTGTCAGTGTGTACTGAATAAGACATACTGAGTATGCCTCCTTGCAGCAACATTTTTTTTTTATTAAATCCTTGTCTGTTTTTAATATTATTATTATTTAGAGATCCTTGCATTTCCTGCTCTTCTTTTGGTGACCAGAAACATTCTGACCTTCTCTCTGGAAGCCCATTCGTGACATTTCGGCATGAAAGAACCACTCTCAAGACGATTCTTAAAATAATTGCAGGTCTGCTCACCTACTTTATGTGGGTTTAGGAGGTCATTAATACCATCTGGCAGGGCTGGCTGATAAGCTGACAAGATCTATTGGTCATTATTGATTGGCTTTATCTTAAGAATTTCAAGCAAGTCTTCAATACCTGGCCTTTTGGAAGTTTGATTATCTGTACTTGTTCAGATATTCACTCAGATACATACTCTATTCTGCATGAGTTAACCTGGAGATCATCGGCTGTTTCATGTCTCTAAGCTACCTTCTATTTTGATGGTGAGCAGCAAGATAGTATTTAGCTGCAAACTAAATCTCTTTGAACTAAATTGATTTGAAACTAAAACCCTTTAACCTCCTGGAGTCTGAGTGGACTTCTGTGGTTGAGTTGATCTAGTGGAAAGAAAGTCCTGCTTCCCTCCAACTCTGCTGTGCATTCCTGTCCCCTCCCTTACATAGTCAGTGTTTTTCATTTAACCCTATTCATTTCACATTTGCAGGGAGTTTAATCATCTATCCATTTATCCTTCAGAAATGGCTCATCACGAGGTCAGAAGAGCACTGCTGCTGGTGAAGGAAGTAGCAGCGGCAGATAGCCACAGTCAAGAAAGAAGAGAGCAGGACAACCCCTTTGGTAGCAGCCACATTAGAGCAACACAGCTAAAGCATGAAACAAAAAAATTTGTGTTGTTGATATAAGATGATCTAACTCTGTCCTGCTAATCTTCCCCTAGCTGCACATTCCCAACTCCTTCCTTATTTTGGCTCTAGCAATTCTGCGATGAGTTGGATCAGCCCGGTTGCTGATCAACCCTTTGCCTACCTGAAAACCCATCATTTCTTTGTGTGTTTTAGTTTTCAAGTGGATCTGACTCACCTTTTGGTTGCATTATTACTAGAACTGCTGCAAGGGAGGTAATGGAAATATATACCTGAAGATAGAGGAGAGGTCAAAGCCCTTTCTTACAGTTGGAGATCAGTCATAGATTAGCTTGAGTCAATCATGAGGCCATAGTTAGACAAACTCTTTAAGCTGAAACTGCTGCCAAAAGAAACAGTCCTGCCTCCCTGCCCAGTGAAAACAATCCTTTCCAACCCTATGCCACTTCCTTCTGGCATTGATCTGGTTCACCATGCAACACAGCTCGTTGTATAGGTGCATGATGATCAGAACAATGAAGTGAGTTCTCTGACAACCAGTTTTTCAGGTTAACGTTTCAGGTCGACTCGCCAGCCTGGCTCTGCGTTCAGAGGCTGGTGGCACTGTTTCCTTCAGGGGCAGCGCGGCCTTGACATGAAGCGTCGAAGTAAGCTGCACACTTGTATCTGCTGTCTCTTAACCCACTCACCCATGGGACTCTCCCAGCAGGGTTCAGCAACCCCACCTGAGCAGGCTTTCGGGAGCTGGCCAGGGCCAAGCCAAACGAGCCTATGCAGGTAGCCAGGGTGGTGGCACCCCATTTTGGCTGCCCCGTGGTGGAGGCTCTCACCCGGGAGCCATCACCCCTACCAGCGGCGCTGCCCCAGCGCACCCTGGCACCGCTCCCCTCGGCACCTCAGGCGGCGGCTGCCCCGCGCTTCGCCGCCATCTTGAGCGGCCCCCCTACGGCGGGCGGCACCCACCCCTCAGGCCCCGCCCCTCCCCGCAGGCCCCGCCCCGCCAGGGCCGGCCCAAGGGCAGGCAGCCCGGCGCATGCGCAGACCGGCCGTAAAC